AGGGAGTTTATACAGACCTTGGTATTAAACAAATGATATCCTCACTAGTTTAAACAAATAAAATTTGAAACTGTTACTGTTAACAGATAAATAATTTAAACAATATTTTACTATCTTATACCTTGTAACATTCTAAATTCATTATTATTAAATATTTCAGGATCTTTACAGCTTCTAAATCCCATTCTTAGGATCATCATCATTTGCCACATAATCAATCAAAATCTTATAATTTATTTTTCCTTTTAAAACTAATGAAAAAAATATAAAGTTTATTATTCTACAGTAAGACTTGAATTTAAATATTGGTATTTTTAGTTGTAACTAAACCTTTATACTTATCATTCCTATTGTTTTACAATCAACTACTTATTATTATTCTCATCTCTTCCCTGCTGCATTTTGTAGAATTCTCTCTTAATTCACTCAATCTCCTTTGGCTCCATCCTCATGTACCATTTTACTAATTTCTTCATCTTTAAAAAACATCTTATATCTTCCTTTTCACAAAAGTTATATACTTATATTATTTTATATATAGTTATAATGTAATAATTCGTTAACTTTAAAAAAAAAATAGTATTACGACAGTACAACCATATTGTATTTTTTAAAATTTAGTGGATTTTGTTAAAATACCTATACAGTACCGTATACTATTAATGTATATTGTTTTTTTAACACAATTTGTTTCTTCTTAGTCATTTTTATTTCCCTCTTTTATACATTTAACACACCAAATTTTTGTGTGCCGCTGAAAGAAAAGTGTATGTTCAGTTAAATAAATAAATATAACATTGTAAAGTCATGTCCCTATGCCTTTCACAGTTGCTTTTTATTCTTATTAAATGCATCTCAATAGCATTGTTATTCCTTGTTTTTTTAATGCAATTAGTTTCTTTTAGTTGTTTTTCATTCTCTCTTTTATACATTGAATGCACCAAATTTTTGTGAGCTGCTGAAACAAAGTGTATGTTTAGTTGAAAAAAATAAATAAATAAATAAATAAAAAAATAAATAAATATAACATTGGAAAGTCATCTCCCTATACATTTCACAATGCTTTTATTCTTATTAAATGCATCTCATTAGCATTGTTATCCATTGTCTCCTAATAACCCCTTCCTCCTCCTCATAATCTCCTTGTTATTGGCATTTCTACTTCAACAGCCATCTTTTCCCTTCTTCAATCTCTTATTATGTTTCCTATCCCTTTTTTAAAGTTCATCTTAACAACCATTGCTGGTGCCATCAGCTCCATTCATATCTTGCTCCTCATCAGCATAATGATAGCTGTTCACATCCTCATCATTATAATATCATAATTTCCAACTACACTAACATTTACTAATTAGCATTTCCTAATACAGTACTTCATAGACAGGTACTGTAAACATTAATATAAAATTAGTTCAGCTAAGTTGGGCGTAGAGAAGGAAAGACATATTTTAATGGCCAATGTCTGACCTGATGACAACTTACCACCATGATTTAATATTATATTACTTTTACATTATTATCATTACAATTACTATATTGTATTTGAAAGGAGATATAATTTAAACTGACTAATGCTCTCTTCCTTGTAAGAAGAAATGAATAAAACCTGAAATGTTGATCATAATCCAGATATATTGGTCAATGTACTGTACCATACAAAATAGTAGATAATTTATTTTTAGATCGAAGAAAGTACAAAACACAATACAATATAGAGGTAGTAATAAACAACTTCTTAACATAATCAATACAGAAGTATATTGGATTTCAAAATATACGTCTATGTTTCCAATTTCGATGAGAACTCCTGAAAACTCGTTGGAAATTAAACCATAGTGGATATATATCATTTGGCCTGAATGGATAGATTAATTGTACAGAGTGCATTAGCTATTAACAGCCTTGTCTTATCCACGCTTAAGTAAAGAGCCCTTCGTGTCATTCTGTCAGAAAATGACGCAACGAAGAGAACGAAATTGAAGTAATATCCTCACAAAACCGGAAACAAACACGGAATAATTTGTTTGGAAATTCGGTCAATGTCATCACATACGAAGATGGAAACCGCTATCTTAAATTTAAGAATTAAGATGTTAATGTTTATTAAAATGGAGTAAACATGTTGATAATTCATTTGCATATATGTAAATTAAATATAAACATGTTTTGTTGATGCTATGTTGAGTATCACGTATTGCTACCAAATAAATACTACGTACTGGTACAGGGTGATTGCAAATTAAGATTGTAGTTTAATGCTTATTTAAATAGAGTAAACAGTTTTAATATATTTACCGTAAGCATTAAATATATTATATTATAACTTTGCCATGCAAACCTTCAAATAATATTTACTGTATATACTAAGATATATGCTTAGCCATTTTAATTTAGACAAATAAATTATTAATATGTTTAAATAACAAAACAAATATTCTAGTATTATTAGAATAATAAGAGGTACCTGTAAATAAAAAATAATTTGGCAAAACAGGAGTATATTCAATAGAATTCATGAAAGGAATTTAAGTAACAAAATTCTTTGGTACTGGAAAAACCCATTACATTCAATTTCAATATTATAATATCATAATATCTACATCAACATGATTAAGTTTATTGATCTTTGCTATATATCTAATCACTGCAAAAAATTATAATAATCGTAACAATATTCCATTAATTACCTTACAATTACAGTCTAAGGAATTAATGTAGCGACAGTAATAAAGCAGAGCCCTCTGTTGTTTACCATGAAGCAGAGTGAACCAAGGCATGATTCTTCTATAGATCAAATATATTTTTGCAGACTTCAGGAAATCATTAAGAATTTCTAAATTTATTACATTTTGTTCTTTCTAGAATGACTTCTTTTTACAACTGTAATAAATACAAAAATATCGTAAAATCATTTGTTGTAGTACAATCATAAAATTCAATAATTATGACCGTGTAAATAATATGGCACAGTAGTGTTTAAAAGCATTTTTTTTACAACATTAGGATAAAAACACTTTTGTTAACGTATGTCCTATCAACATAAAAATAGAAATGTATTTCTCATCCATATAATCAATGTAATTTTCATATCGCGTATCTCGGTCACACAAATAATATAACTATTATAGAGTATAGCTCAAAACGTATATGCGGTTTCTTCATATGTAGTCGCTGTAGTATCCTGTTTGCAAATTTATAAATGCAGACAAATATCAGGTTTATCCATTACTGTTTCTCCCTAAAGCCCATCAAAAACTATCATTGTCTATCTATTGTACTATCCATCAAGTATCCTTAAAATCAAATTAGTCAACTGTCTGTTTTATTTATCTACTGTCATTTTTCGAATTCATTTTACATTAATACAACAATACTTCATGTGGGTAGTTTCACAGCAATGCTCACTTCAATCCAAATATATTTATTCATCAACAAAATTCCATCCAAGGAAAATAAAGTTTAGTATCAGTTTTCAACTAAAAATGAAAGAAAAAACTAGTGGAATATTACTGTGATTTCCCCTTGAATATTTACTTTGAAATACTTTGACATCAATTTCTGGAACAAAAAGTCTAATAATAAAACTAGAATTTACGTTAATCTTAAACCACTCATCAATCCATTGTAATTCACAATAAAATACAAGATAAACAAAAACTAAGTGAAATATGAAATAATATTAATTTATTGTCACTATTAAACATTCATTTCTTTTAATATTACATTTCCAATATTATGTTAATATTTGATAAAACAAGTTGATTATATGAGAATGTTGTAACAAGGATGTGAGCATTGCACAACTTAATATTAAGCCCTTAATCCTGTTTACGTGATAAATTACACATGGTGTAGTGAATTCACACTGGACCAAACACTGCCCTCTAGCTACTATGCCATAACTACCCTTGCACTTGCAGACCTATACTAAGAATGGTTTCTAATTCCTGAAAAATTTCATACATGTGCGTGGGATTGGGAACCAATTCAAAATGTTAATGACTCGTGGGGAATCTTGCAACATTACTCCTTGCAACCTACTGTTGTTCATCATGATCATTATATCAGGTATCATTTCATATTATTATTTTACATATTACCCATTAAAATTTTATATCATGTAGTAATCACACTGCACATTGTTTTACTTTGCAATACTACAGATCTTTGGGATCTTGGTAATATGTTCTTGTCACTGTACAGCACATATTAGTATCAATAAAAAAAAGTATTTTTCATCAATATATTAGATATATAATTGACTCATATTGATAGTAAATAATAATAAATTGATTATATATATATATATAAAACGATGCAAAGTAAAGTACTTCAGATTTTTAAATAAATTTTGATGGGGACAAAGAAAGTTGACAAAATTAATATATTATCAATAAAATTAATAATAACAATAATAACTATTATAAATGTTTAAAATTCATATACTTTGCAGTTATGCGGTTGGAATTAAAATATTACGATGGATATGATGGTTGCTGTCAACCCTTTACTTGAACCTGTAAAACTATATTATTATCTTTATTATTTTTACTGTATGTTTTGACTATCTCTTACTGGTACTGTAGCCTGGAGACTGTCTGACAGCATATTTCTGTTGAACCTCCCATTACTATAGAACAACGACTATCATCTAACCTAGGCTACATGTACATTACTTCTTTTTAAACAACTATTTTAAGAAAATTCGTCGGTAATGCCAACACACATTCTTATAAACATGAAAGAGTAAAGAACGACATCATACTTTAACCAGTAAGGGTTAACACGTGCATTCACAGCATACGAGGCGGGAAATATAAACAAACAGCGTACACAATCACGTCCATGATATGACGTGCTACAGGAAAAAACAGTTCACCACGCAACATATTGTAGGCATATATTTAATCTAGATTTACAAGCTAATATTTCATGTGACTATATAAACATTACAAATACCGGTATACTAAATTCAGACTAAAGAAACTACATCCTCGTACCTGTATATTTATTTACCGTTTTTCCTCTCTGGATATATTTCTGTTTTAAAACTTGCACTATCTGAGTGGAGCCTGTCTTGCTTTTGATTTCAATTGGAAACTGACGTGTAATTCGCACAAATCTGGAGTCCATCCACTCCAATTATAAACACGCGTGGGTGAATCACATCCTCAACTAAAAAATTCCAAGTTCTGCTTTAAATTATACGATTACGATGATGATGAGGGCAATTTCAAATTTGTTTCCTCCTCATCTTAAAATTCCTTGTCCACTTTTAGAAAAATTGGAAAATCCCATTCCATCAATACATTTCGAATTCATAGCAGTCACTAAATTATTTCTTGTCGTAAAGTGGTTGTTAACAGTATCTATATGTGCACAACGTGCACACATGTGCTTTAGAATATAATACTATCCTCATCAACATAATCCACCCACACATATCGGGAGATTTGAATGGAACTGTTACTAGTGCATCAGCAATGTTCATATCTCACGGCGTCAGACTGCTGGATGATAAATATGCAAAACACTGGGATGCTGACGACGGGAATCAATGCCTGCAGGCTAATGAGAATGTGGGTGATGCGCTTACCTAGCCCACGCGTGTGTGGTACGAGATACACTCATTTAAGTCCACTCTAAAGTTTGTACTATATGGAGGAGGAAGTTGGGTTCTACTAATTAACAATATCTTCAAGATTGGCATTGGTAATGGAAATACATTTTGATATACAAATTTTATATTGTGCTTTAGCACATCTGTATACCAAACTCATTGAATATAGCAATGTACAAGCATGATTTTTTAATAAAAATAAGATATAATAATGTTAAATATAAAATGTACAGAACAATATTTTCACCATCTATGCATTGATTTAGTATTCTACTCTACAACTTAGGAGAATGGAATATAGTATGGTTACCAGCTGGATGGGAAATTATTAAGATTACTACATGCATTTCAATTTTATCATTTCTGTGTTTAAACCATAACATGATATAATAGAATAACAATTGGGCAGTTAAATTTTGTTAAATAATAAAATACCCATTTTTTATTAATTAATTTCTGTGTTTGATAATAATTTAAAGATAATGATGAAAATGTTGACATTCACAAATGACTTTGATCTTGCAATTGTCACTGATACTAAAGTCATTTACATACAAGAAGGGAAAGCATTACTGTAATGTGGTAATGTGAATTATGGCAAGAAAATTTCAGATAAGAGTAGTCGAGCAATGATGTGCACATAGCATATACTATACTGACAGTGACCAGAAAACAAAATTTAAGATATCCCTGAGTGGCACAAAAAACATTAAGTGAACTAAAGGAAAATGTGCCTTAGCATGATGAACAAATCTCCGAAGAGCACAAACTCAAAAGCACACGTCCAAGATCTTAAATGAACAAAACGGATCATTCTACTTACTGTCGCAAAGATTTAAGACCATGTATGCTTTAAATGCCGAACAACACACACTTTGGCAGGACTTTGCTTCTTGTTATGCTACAGTATATGACATCACCTCTTGAAACTGAATATTAAATAACAATAATCACAGTACACTAGCTACCATCACAAACGACAGAAGATGAGGCCAAAATGTACAAGGCGGCTTCAGTTCCAAGGCCCCTCTTTACTCTGATGTTTGCATTGGAAATCCCTGTTAAATCGTACATTAAATTTAATAGGATGTACAATATTTACATCGATGACAGATATACTGTAGATCTTGTGATCATATTAGGGTTCAACATTTGTTTTGTTTGTACTTCCAGGTGCAGACATCTGGTAATTATTTCCATAAATAATGAATACCGTTAAAAATCAGTTAAATACTCAAATAATTTTACTTCTTTATATCTAAATTATTATTTATTTTGTTTTGTTACACATTATAACAAAATGCTTTTAAGGATACAGAAGAAAAAAAAATTCAAAATGAATATAAAAAAATGACGTACTAAACATTAAGGAAGAAAATAATAATGATAAGGATAATGATGACAATGAGGATGTTAAAATGATAATAATATGATGATGATGATGTTGATGGTGGTGGTGAGGATAAGCATGATGATGATGATAAGGATGATGATAAGGATGATGATGATGTCATTGCTATTATAGTACATTAGTAGAAGATTACGTTATTTTTGTTGGTTAATTAACAAACTGCCATTTGTTGTTGCACTTCAGTTTATGTTAATCATTAGCTGATGTTTTGGTTTTTAAAATGCCCAGGGTTAAATTTAGTGTCATAAGGTATTGACTAGACTATTGTCAACAATGTAAACAAGTCATATGGCAACTTTCCAAGTAGGTTCAAGGTTACTGGTTCAAATCATTCTAATCTTCTGGGTATTTTAATCAGATTTTAATTGGATTATAAATATTAAGAACTACAGTAAGGTTTTTATTCAATAACTAAATAATTAGAATAACCATGATATTGAATATTAATATATTAAAATCAATTCCAATGAAGCATCGCATAATATGATAAGTCAGTCCTTACAATAATAAACAATATAAGAGTTTAATGACACTGAAATCACAACGTGACTATTAGTTCTACCATCTTCCCCTTAAGGGTATTGTTCTTCTGATGTTGACTCATTAGCGTGTTTTGAAGACAATAATGATTAAAAAAATTATGTTGTCGTAAGGTGTTGCGTGTTTGACAGTTTCTGACACATCGTACTAGCAACTATCATGACCTCATTATAACCATCATTCAGCTACCAGTAAATTTACTAAGGTATTGTATGCAAGTTAATAAAATTGAGCCAAGTTCATATTCATGGACCTGGAGCAGTAGGAGCCATGTGTCAATAGTGGACAACGGAACCCTAGATTTTAAATATTACAGGATATTGCTAAAAAAGGATATTTTCCAACAAATTAATAAACATGCCAATATATATTTGTTGCGAAGCAGCCAATTCATATTCTTGACAGCAATTTGACCTCTGAAAGGTCATTATTTGTCAAAAAACAAGGGCCTAAGACGATTGAAAAGCGGAGTTTCCTTCCTTCTTTCGTTCTGCCGGGTAAAATCAATTACTTTAGGCGACGTTTGTAGACTAACCTACACATACCAACGTCCGCATGTCGCGCTAGCCTTATCCTACTCTAGGCCTAGACTAGCTAGGATGGTATAGGCCTAGCCTTGAAGGGACGAAGGTCCCAATGAAAAACAACGTTGCTCCTTGATAGCTAACATTGTCTATTTAACATCACAATAATTCATTATTAGACCTATAGTTGTTTTTTTGAATTGTACTCCACAAATCTCAGCCGATACCTCGCACAACTCGTTAATGTCTCTATCTATTGTCGTGACGTCATGGCTCGCTGGCTCACACTTGCGATGTCTCGCACTTGTGATCAAATAACACGCTGGGTCGCACATTGGCAAAACGCTTTGGCAGTCAACTCGCCCCTAGAAAACCCGCCCTTGGAGCTTGCTCCATAAAAAAATGTACACTTCCTAGACCATGCAGTCTTCAAAATAAAAATTGTAACTTTTGGTAATCAACTACATTTTCCACATACATAGAAATTTTTGGAACTTTATTAAAAAAAACCTAAACCATAATTCACCACTATAGACACTTTTTGACAAAAATGAAAAATTACGACTTTGTTACCCAATGAGAAGTGTTCTAATATAGACAATGGGTCGTGTCTCATATTATTTTATATTTTTATTATTCATTATTTTCACTTGACTCGCATAAATAATTTTGTTCAAAGAACATTTATATGCAGTTGTACTTCGCAGCACTTCACTTGCAATTTGCAATTTCTAGTCTGTGCAATAATACCTTTGTGACTTCATTCACATTAAATATACAGTGCTTTTAATTCCTGGGTTGTAGCCTTCAACACAGCTCTCTACATAGCGCCCTCAATCATTTCTCTTACAGTGCCCTCATTGTTGGACTAGACTAAAGGAAATCACCAAATATGATTGTTGTCCTGGTGATATTTTTTAAAAATTTTGATGCCAATCATACAGTAACACCCATCAATTTTGAAAAATAAGAAAATGTATGTTATCAAGAATTTGCTATTAAATATTTCTGATTTATAATAGATAGATAGATAGCTACTGTACATTTCTAAGAATTATATCCAGACTTACATAATTAATATCACAGCTCATTAATCACTTAGAGCTATCCCTCAATAAACAGCAGAGGCAATCAATAATATTTTAATAATCCAAGACAGCAAGTCGTACAATATATTTTCTATGATAATAAACGCTGGAATCAAGAAGTGATTGTAGTAAGTTTAAGTAGTTGATAGCAACAACCATCTATCAAATAAAATATTCTTTTTAATTGACAGCTATGGAAACAAGAAAAAAGTTACCATATATAAGGTATAAATTTTTAATAATGCTATTATTATGGAAATCACAGCTTATCAAAATCATGCTCTGAAGATGCACACATTTCCCACATTAAAAATTTATATTTATCGTAATCATTATCATTATTATCATCAGTTATAAAGACAATGTTTACTTTGTATTATCTTCTAGCACTTATACCAAAAATGGGAAAATAAGCCAAACACGCTCATATTAATATTTCAGTGATTATTTTATTGAATGGAGTTGGAAATTCGAGCTTCCGTCGTCAGACTGGTAATTACTAACTGGTGTGTATTCATGAAATTCTCTTCTTTTGAGAATGAAGCAACGCAAACAAAACCCCAACAGACAACACAGCCCCAGTGACCCCCAAACCTTGCATTTGTAATGCTAATTATCTAATACTAGAAAATACAGCATGATGAGCTATTAGTATACTGTAATATAAATTAGCAAAATTTATCTCTATACAATGACGTTGGCTTTATATTAAATTTCAGCTGCAGCTAAGATCTACCACACAGTGATAAAAGTAGTGTGACATTATAGTTCATATGAACTCTATCTCATTATTTTGAATAAAATTAATTCTATGTTACATAGTACACTCATTTAAGAAATATCTCATTATTTTGAGTAAAATTAATTCTATGTTAAGTACACTCATTTAAGAAAAATGTTGATATATACTTTGAGATGACTAGAACAGGCCCTCTATGGACGATATCTCGAGTAAATAAAAGAAAACAAACAGTACTGAAACTCAGTTGAATAAAGGTACCCTGTTAGCAGAAGTTAGGGTAGGTTATTGAAGTAATTTTAAGGTGAATTGTAAGAAGAGCAATAGGAGAGTAGGAACTATTAAAGCAAGCTCACAGAAAAATGGTTTAATAA